GAGATTTGAACGCCTTTAATTTGTGATTGGAAGAACTGACACATAATGTGTTGCAAAAATATCCAAATCACGTGAATTAATCATGTAATTATGCATGCATGTGATGTTGATTTTTGCATCTCACATTGTTTTTCATCATGGCGTGGAGTTTGTCTTTGAGTTCGTAAAAATAAGAATAAAAGCAGAAACAAATTGACACTATATTAGAAGGTGTTGTTATGTCTAATTTGCCAGTTCATTGATTTTTACCTAGAAACTTGTTCGGGTGGGTCGCGTGATACGACGTCCGGTCGACGACAATCTTTTGTCAATCGACTATAATCATAAGCTTTCAGTCTACTTCACATCAATGAAGCCTTCACTGATTTCCAGACTGACACTGTTTCTTTCAAACTTGGGAGAAGTCACGTTTTTGGACAAATTCCAATATGGAAGCACCTATTTTGAGCTACCCAAAGCTAGATGCATCAAACATAATTTTTCTCGAAGTTTTGCTCAAAACTATTTGAACCTTTAGCGAAAGCTTCAGTTTCCCATTTCCCTCATCGACGGTCCTGACTCAGGATCCAAGTTTTCGGTTCACATAAAAGAACCTAGGGCGCTCCTCCATGCAAGTGAGTTTCTTCGGGGACGTACACATGGAAGCTTGTGCAAGGTGTGCTGGCATATAGCTCCCTCACTAAAAATTGATTTTTTCCCATAATCCCCTGTCACATGACATCAAAGAAATAGCCCAGGTGTTTTTTGCGTGCTCGGTGTGCAAAGCATAATGGGTATAATTGAAATAGGAGCCATTTTCACGAGTTGGTTGGAGTCAACAAGAGAAAAACTTCATTTAACTGACAACTAAACAGCTAGAGTCACAACTTTTTAAATAACGGCGAATGACATATTTATCGTGGAGAACGCTTGAGCAATTTCATTTATGCATATTTTAAGAGAATACTTAGTTTTAGGCATTAAAGTAGTAAATAAAGCCATTTTGTTGGATGTACAATTTGTTGATTTGTGACATAAAAGACATAAAAGTAGTAATAAGGCAAATCTTAATATGATGCAGAGAAAATGTTTATATGACCAATTTTATTTGCTCATTAATCATTAATTCTTTTAAGATGTTGTTGAGGTGCACTCCGTTTTGTCCATGCTCTGGTTTTTACTCGACACCTAGAACAATTTTAATTATAACAAGCGACAGTTTTTAAAACGCTGACATCGAGTTGGTGGGCGTCTCCATGGATGTCAAACAAACTTTCTGACTGAACCGGGAAGATTCCAACCAGCAGCCGAAGCACTACAAAAAGTAAAACCCCGGGAAAGAAAGCAAATAGATGCGATCATTATTTATTTGCCGTTTACATGTAATTCAAATACATAACTGAATCATTTTTACGTGGGCTTCCAAAGGAAGACCATGTCTTAGATTACCGACGTTTTTCGTCTGTGGTATGCTTCAAATTAAATCCGGGACCTTTTCATTTTTGACATCTATTGTCTTACTGTCATTCATATCATGTTTCTAAGCAACGATTGGAAAGGTCGCCCTCGTGATTCTTCGTGCCTTCGTATAGCCGGCAAAGTTTTAAGATCGAACATGTCGAATCTAGGTCATCTAGCTTCTGCAAATACGCTAGATTCTTTTACAAATCCACGCACCATTCGCGGCATAGCCACACTAAAAAAATTCGAGCGTTTCTCAAAAGGTCATTTGGAGAGATACGGTGAATTTATCGTGAATCTATAAGCTTACCGATCGTGAATTATCTATCAAACATTAGCTTATCAAAATCTAACTTATACTAGTACARCAGGCTCTAAAATCACCAAGGACTAATCTAAGACATGTCAACAGATTTATACTGAGGAAAAACAGAGGATTGGAAGTATTTTTTTAAAAGCGAAGAACATTAAAGACTATCGATCTGTGTTTAATACAGCCAAGGATGCGACTCTTAAAGTAACGTCTCGTCAGACATAAATTACTTCTTTCACAATATTATTAAACACAATATTATTAAATTCTACTGAGTACATTGCTTGTTTGATTATTTTTCATTAAAGGAAATCTTTTTTTTTGCTGTTGTCTTAGTAATATTAATTTCATCAGGGTTCAATATCATTTACTGATTGTGATATACCACAGGAAGCCCATGTAAACGATCGCTGATCGTCTAGTTTTTATTAAAATAAGTTTCATCCATATCAAATGGTCTGTTGGCCACCACCGTCTAACTTGTATGCAAATCAGTTGGAATGACATTTCTACTTTATTTTTGTTTTCATATGTTTTAAGATGATGGTCTGAATTTACTAATCCGGCACAACAGTATTCAGGCCCAATATGTGAGTTTCAAAATCTAGCTTTAAGACTGTTTGATAGCCGAATTTTGAAGACCATCTCCAAGTGAGCGAATCAATATAGCCTGCGGGAATAACTGCGCTTCCGAGAAAAATTAACGCTATTTACTCGAAATTAAGTTTATTTTCAATGAAGCGATATGGTGATGCCAAATAATATATCTTATAATCATGTCTATTGTTGGTTATGCACATGATGGCGAGCACAGCAGAGCCGTAACCAGAACTTCAACTTTGTCAACTTTTCCGTATTTAACTCTTTCCCGTCTGCCCCTTGAAATTTAGGTCGAATTCGACCTATGCGTCAAAAGTCTATAAGTTGCCGAAATAGTAAGCTAGAGCCCTGAAATTGCTCGTACGAACTTACTAGTAGATACTGTAGATCTTACAGTTAAAAGAATTTCGCAACGAGGAAACAAAAGACACAAAACATGACTCTGCTTTGAAATGAATGCCAAAATCTGAGTTTGAAGGACGGCAGAGTACACTGATTTTCATCTCAATTTGTAGCGTCAAAATATGTTCTCCTAGCAAAAAGTCCACTTGGTTTGCAAACCCCTTTGATAGAACGTCCTCATTTCGATGTTTTTATTTTGTCAAATGCACTGCAGATTTTTAAACAGCCCTCTTTTGAAGACCAGGTATAACAAACTTCTATGCACGATCGAAATGCATCATGGGAAGACGGAAAATTTGGACATAAATCGTGCAGCATTCTTCTTTTAAGAATTTTTTTATAAGTGTGAGCTCCCCCGCACCTACAGGCAAAATATCGGGCCAATTGCATTCTTTGGTTGTCAAATATTGCCAAAATTACCTTGGTAGGTTGGAAAATCTGCCACAGATGGACCAGGAAAGCGATCTTACAATGATGTCTCCAGTTCAAAACAAACCGTGACTTGGAGCCATTGTCTTCGAAAAATCGCTTTCCACCTCCGATTTCTTCCAGAAGATTGTCTCTGCCGACTAGTCAAGCTTAATGATGCAAGCCTAGGGGCTCCTGTGGCAGCAAAAAGCTCAAAAAAACACTTATAAACGGGTTTTTAGGTAAATTTAGGCTCAACCAGTCGATAAACAAACGGTCTGACCTAAATTTACAAAGCCCTGCATAAATTAATGCTCCCTAGGGAATTCAAATCCGAAATAGTTTTATTGACAGCACCTTATATGGAAGTCAATTATTTTATCAAGATGTTAGGGTCGAAAAAGCTCAAAAATCAACAAATCGACATCAGTCGACAATGAGTTAA